AATTNATCTACATTGAGGAACAAAATCAAGAATAGATTTATGCAGAGCATCATAAAATATATTAGTAGCGGTGTTAGCATTGTGAGGGAGAAATGTGTTATACCAGTCGTAAGAAAAGATAAATTGCCGAATACTATTGTAATTAGCTCTCTTGAAATTGATAAGGAAAATAAAATAATAATAAATAATATAATATATTATAAATAATATAATACAATATAATAATAAATAAAATAAAATTGATAAGGGAAATGATAAGGACAATTTAAGATAGTTCAAAAATTCAAAGGCTTTTAACTTAAGAGGTAAAATATTTAAAATAAGTTAAAATTTTTATTTAATTTAATTTAGATTCTTATAATGGTGATTTAAATCATTATTATAAGAAATGCTTCGATTCAAATTTGTGGTTAACTCAAAGAAGAGATTATGGGTTTATTTCAAAAGCAACATCAATTCATATTTTTTTAATTACATTCTGGTTATAATTTTTAAGACTTATAATTATAATATATGAAAACTATTTATATCAGTTACTGAACATAGCATACATTTAAGATAATAATACTATCTATTGTAGTCTAACCAAGTGGTTAATTCTAAGAAATTGGTGTAAAATTACAAAAGCAATATAAACTCCTATTTCCTTAATTATATCCTGATTAGTAGTATATTTTATTACTTCTATACCAAACGTGTATAAAAATTTGAATTACTTGATACAATGATTTTTAAAAAAAAATTTTTTTGACTCGTCTATAAGAAACATCAAAATCATAATCAAAATTATTATTCAAAAAAAATGTCTATATCAACTTTTTGCATTATTTTCAAATCTGCAATTAGACTTTTTCAATAATTTCTAATTTTTTATCTTATTTCTAATCAGCAAAAAATGAGTATGTATGTATAAAAAAATATATATTACAGTATAATAAATATTTTAAAAACATTAGAAATGAAAGATTTTAACTTACGATATGGAAAATGTGAACTAAATAAACTTTGATTCGATAAAGAGTAAATTATAAAATTTTCGAGAGTCTTGTCTTTAACTAGATATGAGTTGTAATCATTTGACGTGTCGCTGAAAAAAATCGGTTCACTAAGAGCTGAGAAAAAGTGGTAACAGACATACAAAAAAAAACTCATCATAGTAAAATTAATACATTACAAGCTTCTCATCGAAGCTAAAAATATATGGATTAATTAATACAATTATTGTTATAAGAACTTCATAAATTCTTTTTTCATTTATTATACTTTTTTTAAAAAATCAGATTATTTCTCTTTATTCAAGGATATTCAAAACTTGAAACACTAATATTAAAAAACGGTAGCACAGTGCAGTTGCATCATAGTCCAGATGTGTAATAATTAGGGCAAGTATATATGATATCTGACAGTAATTAAAACACTATCAAGAAACGCTTCGAAGTAAATCTGTAGATATTGATTAATTTTAGAAAATTGGTGGATTACTCTAAAAGTAAAATTGACTCCTATTTCCTTCATATTTCTAATTTCTCTATGATTTATATGTATTATTTATGAATATATATTAGACATTCATAATATCTATGAAATTAATATTTAGTTTAGTCTTATAATTTTTACGGAAAGGGATTGATGCAATACTATTAAAAAAAAAGTTGATTGTTACTAAAAATAAATATACCGTTCTACAAGGAATTTTCATCAGAGATTAAATTATACTTTTCTAATTCAATTTTAAACCCGATTACAAATCTACAATTAGAGTTTCGCATATGAACTAAATAATAACAAGATTCTTTTAATTAATATAACAAATATTTATGCTTGATTATTATGTACGTTTTAATTTAAAAAATGCTTAACATGCAGAATGTATAATATTCACTATATCAATAATAGTAATTGTTAAAATACCAGGAATGGTAAAATTTTAAATGATTTATTACAATAAAAATACAAATCTACATTTACTGTTAAAAATAATTATGTAAGTTTCTGAACACATGTAAAACTAAAAAATACAATATTTTATTCCACATAAAATATTAAATGATATAAATTCAAAACATGTAGTCAGGTTAAAATTGTATTTAAAGTTCAGCATTTTTAAATTACAAACTTTCATAAAAATCAACTTTATAGGAACAAAATATAAGTTAAAAATGTCATTTTAAATTTAAATTTTGCACGGAATATTTTTAACATATTAAAAATCAATAATAACTTGATAATAAAGTTTTATGATTAATTTGTTTATGTGTTTCTAATCCCAAAAAAGAGGTGATAGAAAAATTTAATTTCACATTTGAAATAGGCGTAAAAATTTGGTTTAGTAAAATATATATTGGTATGACAATTAAAAAATATTTAATTTTAGTGATATGATGTTAGTGTGTAATTCAGTATAAAAAAAAATTTTATACTCCTATTTATTTGGAGATATTTAATTTAAAAAGTTATTTGAAGTGGCAATTTATTACAGTGGTTTATTGCTAGGATTAAAGAATTTTCCCAAATATTTGGTGATTATAAGTTCAATAATATAATAATTGTGTTCTTTAAAGCTATTGATAAAAAAATTAGTGATGTCAGTGAGAGCTGAGAACAATTAATGAAATAAAAAAAACCATATAGTAAAATATATGAATAAAAAAATTTTGCTCACAAGGAGACACTAGTGACGGGATCCTTGATATTTATTAAAGTTATTCAATCTAAATGAGATAAAAATAAAACCTACTATGAAATTTTTTTCCACCTCAAAAAAGAATTAAGAAAAAAATTAATTTAAGTAGGCTTGAATCCCATGCATGAAATGTATTGTATATTGTATATGAAATGTATGTAAAAGTGTTATCGACTAGGTTACACTCGGAAAAACGTTATTTGACCGTCAGATTTCGAACTTCGTACTCAAAGTGTATAAAAACGTATTATATTCGTTGCAGCCATCGTCCATTACAAGATCTTTCTAGCTAAAAGGGTTAACTTAAGCTAGTTCAAAAATTCGCTCTTCCTAACTTTAAGGAGGTAAAAGTATCTAAATAAGTATAACTTTATATTTAATGTAAGTTAGATTCGTGTAAATTTTATAAAAATTGATGGACTCATTACTATGGAAAACTCTTTTAATGTATTTTAAAATAAAATAAAATTTGAACACAAATATAATATGTTTTTAATGATATCATTAGAACAATTTTTTTTTTTTTTATAGTACATAACATAAGCTTAACATATGTTTAAATAAACCAGTATTTCCGGAACGTTATCAAAAATTAAATTGAAAAAAGTTTACTTTTGTAAAAAAGTTTCCAAATTGAATTCCCCCTTGTGGGTAAGTAAAGGGTCAGATTTTTAAAAATTTATATCAAATAAAAGGGAAATANGATGTCAGTGAGAGAACAATTAATGAAATAAAAAAAACCATATAGTAAAATATATGAATAAAAAAGTTTTGCTCACAAGGAGACACTAGTGACGGGATCCTTGATATTTATTAAAATTATTCAATCTAAATGAGATAAAAATAAAACCTACTATGAAATTTTTTTGCACCTCAAAAAAGAATTAAGAAAAAAATTAATTTAAGTAGGCTTGAATCCCATGCATGAAATACGCAAGTGTTATCGACTAGGTTACACTCGGAAAAACGTTATTTGACCGTCAGATTTCAAACTTCGTACTCAAAGTGTATAAAAACGTATTATATTCGTTGCAGCCATCGTCCATTACAAGATCTTTCTAGCTAAAAGGGTTAACTTAAGCTAGTTCAAAAATTCGCTCTTCCTAACTTTAAGGAGGTAAAAGTATCTAAATAAGTATAACTTTATATTTAATGTAAGTTAGATTCGTGTAAATTTTATAAAAATTGGTGGACTCATTACTATGGAAAACCCTTTTAATGTATTTTAAAATAAAATAAAATTTGAACACAAACATAATATGTTTTTAATGATATCATCAGAACAATTTTTTTTTTTTTATAGTACATAACATAAGCTTACATATGTTTAAATAAACCAGTATTTCCGGAACGTTATCAAAAATTAAATTGAAAAAAGTTTACTTTTGTAAAAAGTTTCCAAATTGAATTCCCCCTTGTGGGTAAGTAAAGGGTCAGATTTTTAAAAATTTATATCAAATAAAAGGGAAATACGTAAGGTGTTAATAAAAAAAAATTATTTTGGTACGTTCATATTTTAAAAAATTATGGAAATTTTAAGAACAAAAATGATAAAAATATCATAATTTACCAATTTAAAGTATTAAAATAAAAATTAGTATAAATGTTTTAATTATAATGAACTCTATAATTTAATACAGCACATTATAGAGTAAAAAATAAGACAAAGTTTGCAACTTCGATATGAAACTGAGAAGATATTAATTTTACTATGATGTATTTTTTTTGTATCTGTTGCTGCTTATTCTCAGCTCCCATCGAGCTGATTTCTGTCAACGTCAAAAGATATGAATTCTTAAATATTCTTACCTGAGGTTGAGTTGTTAGAGAAAGTCGAAAAAAGGATAATGTATTATTTTAATTGGTTGTTTTAATACTGTTACACAGTCACTTTTAGATTCGATATTTTAATAAAAGTTATAGTTAGTTATTATAGTTTATAATAATTTAGTAATTATAGCTTAGTAGTTTTCGTTTAGTCAAAATGCGACTAATCTAAAGTTACTAAGCTACTTGGTTGCTCATTGGTTAAAGTGTTAGTAGAAGTCGCTAGTACGTTTAAATTATACCTCTGCTTCCATTTTTTCCATACTTCTGAAAGATTGCCTGTGAATTTCATTTTTGGAGGCGATTTAAAAGCTACATGTACATTATAACATTTTAGGTTACAGAAAAACAGTATCGCCATACGTAATATTTATAACTGTCTTTTAGTTCTGAACTCTGACGTATTATTATTGATTTATTTATTTTGTAATTAATCGTACGATATTTTTTATCACTTTATTAATACTACATTTTATTATTCTCATTTTAGGTCCTGCATTACCGAAAAGTTTTTTACGCGATAGTGTCATGCTTAAAGTGTGCAACTACATAAAGAATAGATATAAAAATAAATCAAGTTAGACACGCATTCTATGAAGTTATTTCAATATTATATATTTTTATTGATGTATATTATTTGATCGAAAAATTATAATAAAAATTCGATTGCGTTGAATTGTGTAGTTGATGTCACTATTATGTACATATACATCTACATATATGAATTTTTAATGAAACTTAATTTGTTTATTAGATATAAACATTTAAAGTTTCAAATTTTTGAGTTAATATATAGGTATAATACACAAGTGATTACAAATACAGGTAGCTAATTGGTTTTTTATGACATCGATATTAGCAGGTACAAAGCATTGTTATTATCAATGATAGTAAGGTACCTTGTTGTGAGTTTATAAATACACTAACTGACAATACTAAAAGTATATCTACGAGGTGTGACAATAAAATAACGAGACTTTCTAAATATAACCTAAACTATTAACGTTATCTATAAAACAATTATTGAAATATAATTAAGAAACACTTATCTAAAAGTACTAAAAACACTGATGAAATCGGTTAATTTTCTTATACGTTAGTAACCTTGTTAATAGTGCGAATTCGACTATACTGCTGAAAAATGTTAGATGTAAAAATCGAACAACGTGTTAAAATTAAATTTCTTGTTAGATTAAAAAAAACTGACGCGAAATCATTTCGTATGTTATGTGAAGTGTATGGTGAAGAATTTTTTATTAAGAGCTCGCGTTTTTGAATGGCTTAAACGGTATTGCAATGGAAGCGAGGACGTGGAAGACGATGATTGTTCTGAACGTCCTACCACATGTTCAACAAACGAAAACGTTGAAAAAATCGACAAAATTATTCGGCAAGATCGTCGATTAAGTGTTAGAACTGTAGCAGATATGGTAAATTTTGATAGAGAAAGTGTTCGTAAAATTTTAGTTGAAAATTTAAATATGAAAAAAGTCTGCGCTAAAATGATCCCTAAAAATTTAACGATTAATCAAAAATTCAATTGCAAAGAAATTTGTTCTGACACCTTAAAAATCATCAAAGATGATCCATTTTTTATAAATAATATCATTACGTGTGATGAAACGTGGATTTTTACATATGATCCTGAAACTAAAAGACAATCCATGCATTGGAAAACACCAACTTCCCCAAGAATGAAGAAAGCACGAATGAGCAAGTCGAAATTCAAAGCAATCCTCATTGTTTTCTTTGACATTAAGGGAATAATGTTTGTTGAATGGGTTCCAAGTGGGCAAACTATCAACCAATATTATTATAAAAAAGTATTAATTAAATTAAGAGAACGTATTAGAAAAAAGCGACCAGATCTGTGAAAGAATGGCTGTGTTCTTCACCAAAATAATGCTCCAGCTCACAGTGCATTTTCAATTCAACGTTTTTTAACTGAAAAAAATATTTCTATACTTCAACATCCCCCTTACTCGCCAGACCTTGCTCTTGTGACTTCTTCTTATTCCCAAAAATTAAAAGTTTATTAAAAGGAACCCATTTTCAAACGGTTGATGACGTAAAAATGAAAACGGCAGAACTTCTAAAAGAGCTAATTGAAAGTGATTGGCAACATTGTTTTCAAGAATGACAGTGACGTATGCAACAGTGTGTTGATACTGAGTGAAAGTACTTTGAAGGTGACAATCATTAAATTGTAAAATTTTAAAAATAAATAACTTTTATTAAAAATGTCTCGTTATTTTATTGTCACACCTCGTATTGATAGTCATAATTGATAATAAACAATCCGTGACTGTGATAGCAATATCATAAAAAATCAATTAGCTACCTGTATTTGTAATCACTTGTGTATTATACCTATATATTAACTCAAAAATTTGAAACTTTAAATGTTTATATCTAATAAACAAATTAAGTTTCATTAAAAATTCAAATGCCATTTACTATTGAATTAAAAACTCAAACATTTTATTAAATTAAAAATATGTGTTACCATTTAAAAAAACAAAGTTGACNAATAGTAATTAGAATATATATATATTTAAAGGGACTTAAGTACGTAAACGTATCATGCATGAGATATAGCCGTGTTTATGTGGGCGGGCATGGCGGAGGGAACATTATACACGAGGCATATACGGCAGCAGAGGCGTCGGCTGTAGGAATATATAAATGAATATTAACATATACGCATATACGTACAAATATTAATATATAATCTTCGCATAATATCGCGGCACTTTCGCTGGCATCGACGACGCGTTGTCCGGCGTGTTCCTCGGACGTCAACAGGTTAGCAGCGTTGATAGCGACGCCGCGCGAGTGCGGATCGAATCGTAGACGTTGTCACTTTGACAACGGGTAGAAGACTACGGTATCATTTGCGGCGGAATGTCGTCGGGCGTGCGGCGCTTGCTGGACTTTGCACAGCGGCGTATAACGCGAGGTGTTGGTCAGTCAAATACTCATAATAGGGCGACGGCTGATAAAGGTGGCACGAGTCGTTATATATATACATAATTGATGACACGCGCGCGTCTACGGGTTAGAAAATATTGTTGTCTACGAGTGGTGAGCGGGGTGGGGCGAATGCATTACAACAGTATAGTCTCAAGGACATACACGACGGGATACGCGACATAATAACACGTGCCGCGTGGAGTTACAAACATACAAACAACATACAAACAATATACAAAATACATGTGAAACTAATAAAAGCGTGTTAAAAATGTTTAAATTATTATTATTCTGTAAGTAATTGAGTGGATTATGATAAAAAAATCACCTTGTATAATGAATATGTATAAGGATCTTTGGCTTAAAGAAGACAAGCAGAAACCATTGCATTACCATTCCCAACACACAACCATGATCTCTTCTAGTTCGGAGAACAGAGAGTATTGGTTGAAGCGACAAGGCGATAATGCCTTTAGATAGTAAAAAAAAAAATACTGATATGTATATGTGTGTGTTCGTATATGCACTTAACATTACGCGAATTTTATTATCACTTTAATTTACGTGTAACTATTTCTCCATTATATCTCTGTATTGAATTTACCCAAGGTTAAAATCGAATTTTAAATTTTTTTGAAATTTCAATTAAACCCTTCTTATATATTTATGCTCTTTGACCTTGTGTATAGTATTATATACTAACATTGTTGGATACGCATTACGAGAGCGTTTTGCTACATTTTATTTTTATGATTGATAAAATCTCTCGCACTAACACCACCGGTTATGTGAGCGATTCAATACGTTAGATGATTACGTACGCGATCGTTGTACGACATCGAGTTACTGTCGGTCTTCTTTTTTGTGATTTTGCGTTTTTCGCTACCATCCTAACTCGTTTTGTTTATGTTTTTACGGTGCTTGCGAGCACGTAGTTGTTAAAGACGCTTATATATCACCCTTGCGATTGTCGCACCCTTGTGCGTTATTTTTTATCGCCCTTGCGATACGCACATTGAGAATTAAATTCGTACACCTTGAAGTACTATTCGCACCAAAGTACGTTCTGCCTGGTACAATTGTCATGCAAACAACTTCATTCGCATTTCATTCACATCAAACCAGTCATCATCATTAGTATCGTATAAGTAGTTTGTAATCATATTGTTTTATCTAATTTTTATTCTTATTATTTCTTTTATTTACGCATTGTTGCATTACCATTAATATTCCCTCCTACCCACATTTATGTATATAGTATTTGGTTTAAACTTTTAATACAGGTAATTGTTATATATTCCTAAATTCATTTTATTCATTTATACAGTCCACTCCCTACTTCTTTTTCCTGCATGATATAGATACTCCAGAAACGAACAGTAACTAACCAGCACATCATTACCGGGCGTTTTGTTCAAACAAACATAATGTAATTTAATAATTTGTATATCCAAAAATAAGATTCTAAATTACATTACTTCTCTGTGCATTTCGTAGCTTGTTATACTAACGTGAAATATCAAATAATATTTTTATCTTTATACGAAGAACTTTAACGACTGTACTGTAAATTTATACACATTAAGTTTTGCTAGTGTCCTACACTCCGATTGTCCGTACTATTTCCTTTCGGAAAACGCAATCCCGACTTTCGGTAAAGTCTGGCTGATTGACAATTGGAGAAACACTTTGGAGAACTATACTGATTAATTAAAAATTTGATTGTGATATTATTGTACTAGTACTCTATCCAGCCTGGTAATGGCTCTTCAATAAGTAATAGACACAATGCAATCTAATTATGTATTTTAAAATATATAGGGTACATAATAAAAATAAAATCAATCAACTACCAATATATTGTATGCGTCGAAATATTTGTATCACCAAAAAGTGTTCGGGCAAAAATAATATGTATAACAATTCTTCTAAGTTCCAACGACTAAAAAGAATGTACAAGGGCGTAGATTTGATATAGCATTGTAACCAAGAGCAAACTGGTTTTCTTTGAAAAAATGGCTTTTTAAAGTCTGCAAAAGTAATTTAGCAAACTCTGATGAGATTCTTAAAATATGTTTTGTTGAATTTGATTGGTCAATACGATTAAAGTTCATTCAAATATTAGATACCAATGTGAAATATATTAACCCATTGGGCGACAATATGTTACATACCACAAGTAAAAAAAACAATAGCACGGTGGGATCATGGCACAGTATAGACATGATATAGTTCGGACAAATATAGGTGATATCTAACATATACCTGCCCACAGAGTGGGGATTCAAAATGGCAACTTTTGCACAAAAATTAACTTTTGAAAATGTTACAGAAATATTTCGTTTTTAAAAATATGTCAAATTTAAGTTTATTATAGCGCTTCTTTAATAGTGATTTTAATCACTATTAGATATTACCAATACTTGTCCCAGCTATGGCACGTTCATACTGTGTCACGACTACACTGTGTCGCCGTTATTTTTAATTTAAAGTCTCACATTGGTATCTAATCATTGATTGAACTTTGTTGTTAATTTTAACATAAAGATAAAAAGAATATTCTTATGTAAAAATGTGGAAGAGCACGAGTGAATTACTACATATAATTAATTATTATATTTTATCGGGAACATGGTTTGAGGGTTCAAAAATAATAAGGTTATTAAAATAGTTTACAGTATGAAATTATTCTATTGAAGTATTAAATTAAAAGAATGCACGTTTATTTATGCACTTCAATCAATGCCCCCCGTGGTAGGAGCATTGACTCAGCCTTGCTTCAGGGACTTCTTCGAGTGGCGCCAGCAACAGCACGAACGCCTTGTACCTTGGGCTTTTTAAAATTTGTGTACGCTGTGTTTTCTTACAATATGATAAAATCTCAATTATTCTTATGTTAATGATTTTGATTGCTCATAATAAATCCTTTTTATTTAAAAGCAGTCAACACTCTTTTGGCAATCAAAATGTATTAAAAGGTATGATAAAATTGACTCACCACTTCATTAACCTTATTTAAGCTTTTAAAATAAAATTGTAGTTAGGTAAAAATAATTTGAACGCTGAAATAAGAGTTATAAGTTATAAGTACGACAGTCGAGATAGTTTCTTACTCCTTTCCACCGTGTTGAGCTGAATAGCTATGTGACTAGCTATTTCCACTACTATGTTCAATACTGATCTACGCTATTCTGCTCTACTCAGTAACTACTGCTCTACTGTGCTGTTGCACTTTTTTTTTTTTTGGTAAGGAAAATATTGTTCGATTCAAAAAACACTACAATAATGTGTAGTAATAACATGATATTTTTCATCCCTTCAAAGTTAAAAAACATTAACTTGAGTTTTTTAAATGAGAGCACATATTTAACAAAATGTTTGAGTTTTTAATTTAATAGCAAATCGCATTTAAATTTTTAATATAACTTTATTCGTTTATTAGATATAAACACTTAAAGTTTCAAATTTTTGAGTTAATATACATGTATAATACACTAGGGATTTCAAATACAAGTAGCTAAATGGTTTTTATGACATTGCTATCACAGTCACGGATTATTTATTATCAATTATGGCTATCATTAGAAATACTTTTTATATAGTCAGTTAGTTTATTTATAAACTCACAACAATGTGCCTTACTACCATTGATATTAACAATGTTGTGTACCTGCGAATATTGATGTCATAAAAAATCAATTAGCAACCTGTATTTTTAATCCCTAGTGTATTATACATGTATATTAACTCAAAAATTTGAAACTTTAAATGTTTATATCTAATAAACGATTAAGATCAAATGCGATTTGCTATTAAATTAAAAACTCAAACATTTTGTTAAATTCAAAATATGTGTTCTAATTTAAAAAAAACTCAAGTTAATGCTTTTTAACCTTGAAGAGATGAAAAATATCATGTTTTACCACATAATATTGTAGTGTTTTTTGAATCAAATAATATTTCTTTACCAAAAATTAAAAATTTTCAATAGTTACTGAGTAAACGAGTGTCTTATCCTTAATGAATCATCCTGTATATTTAAAATTACAAAGATTTTTTTTAATACCAATTTGGTACATAATACCATTTCTGTAACATTTAACTTTTCTTATAATTTACATCCAAATATTTTGAGAATTATTTAAACGTAATATGCGTAGATATTACAACACCAAGTTTGTTGGTATTAAATATGTACCTAATTATTAAATTTATAGATTTAAGGGGTAAGAATGGGATAGATTAAAATTTTTAAATGAATAATATAATCATCTATATATTTTTGAAAAAAAAAATAGTCAATTTTGCATTTTTTGAAGGTATTGCATGAGACATAATTAATCAATCATCCTCTACAGGGTGGTCAACCGCTCACTGAAAACTTAAATAACTTTTGATCCAGTTAATATTTTTAGCTGATTTTTTTTTTTAAATAATAGTTATACGTTAGATCTATAGCTATATCTCAATAATTAATTTTTTTACATTTTATTAAAAAAATTAATTATTTTTAAATTTTAAATAAAATGTAAAAAAAAAAATCTAAGATAGCTATTTTGTAGAGTAGAATTTAAAAATTTTAGTAAAAAAATATCTTATTAATATTCAGTAGTAAATATTCTGTAGCGTTTTAAAGTTTGTGAAAATTTGAATTTTCATGTATTATTTTACGGTATTAAACATTGAAATACGTATTGAGAAGAGCACAGAAGAAAACGCTATCTTTTCATGATTACTGTGTATACATAAGATGATAATGTGTATACATTACAAACTTGGCATTAATACCATGATAAGAAATTAGATAAGGCAATTATTACTTATCACTCTCATTCAAAAGTATATTGAAAAGATAGCGTTTTCTTCTGTCCTATTCTCAATACTTATTTCAATGTTTAATACCGTAAAATAATACATGAAAATTCAAATTTTCACAAACTTTAAAACGCTACAGAATATTTACTATTGAATATTAATAAGATATTTTTTTACTAAAATTTTTAAATTCTACTCTACAAAATAGCTATCTTAGATTTTTTTTTTTTACATTTTATTTAAAATTTAAAAATAATAAATTTTTTTAATAAAATGTAAAAAAATTATTTATTGAGATATAGCTATAGATCTAACGTATAACTATTATTAAAAAAAAAAATCAGCTAAAAATATTAACTGGATCAAAAGTTATTTAAGTTGTCAGTGAGTGGTGGGCCGCCCTGTATGTCGGTTTAACGTTTACAAATATATATTAATGTTTTAAATCTCATTATAAGGTAAAATTAAATTTATGCTGACGTATTTAAAAAGATTGTACTGTTAAAACAAATATAATTCATATTTATTTAGTAAAATTTAGTTTCCAATTTAAAACCACCTGAACATTAAAATTTTAGATAATTATTGAGATAAAGTATTATCAATAAGTTTCAAAAATATTATAATCTATATAATCTATTTTATATTATATATTATTTAATTCTTTATATTTTAAGTAAAATATTTTTAAAATGCATAAAACAACTAAAACATTTGTTTTATTAGTCGTTACTATGGGTATTTTCATGATTGTAGTTAACGGTAAGTATATTAGCTCTTATTTTTAATTTAGTTGAAATGTTATGCCATAGTTACTATGAGCATTGGTATAGATTATTAAAATAGGTTTTAAATACACTTAATTTCACAACATTATTTTTAATATAATAATGTAATTTAATTATAGTTAAAATTTTTCTTAAAATGAGATTATCTCCAATTCCATTCCTCATAAATGTCAAACTATATAATTTATTAACACACTACTCTTTCTTTTTTCTTTTTTAAATAATAATTTTTGATGAAAATAGAAAGACTAAAATTTAATTAATTTTTATAAACCATTGTAAATATCAAATTCATTGTTAAAAAAAAATATTACGAAGGGTATATTTTAGGGGTAACTTTAAAAGTTAAATTGGAATTTATTATCATTTTTTTACTATTCAATAATGAATAGTCTAAATAATATTTTTATAATTAGATAACTATAATCGCATTTGTTGGATACGCATCACAAGAGGGCGATTTTCTTAGATTTTGTTGTGACTGATAGCGCCACTCGCAGTGCCACCACCGGTTGTGCTAGGGATTCGTCACTACGTTGGATGATAGTGTACGTGATTATTGTGTCTCGCCTAACGATTATCGGTCCCTTTTGTGAGTTTTGCGTTCTCGCCACCATTGCTAGCCCTTGCTACGTGGTTCTATGGTGCACCTAGCTCATAGTCGCTTTAATGGATTAATCACCCTGGTGATTCGTCGTGGGTATAGAATTGCTATACCTGTCTATGCCATTGTGCGCCCTTCGTGTACATAACAAGTGCCTCCGTTTGTATCGACTACGCTTGTAGTCTTCAACATTTTAATGTTAAGTATTCCAACTGTTCATTTCTCACCGTCATATTTCATCTATTGTACGTTACACAGTCAAGTTTTTATTTGTTTGGAATTATTATATTATGTTTTATCTATTTTGTTCAGAGATGCCTTGATGGCCATTTTAGTATTAAGTGACCTCCTCCCAATCCACAATTCTATGATAGTTTATATATATATATATATATTGTTACTTTAATATATAACTCCTTGTCTTGTAATTGTTATAATTTTATTTAGTGTAAGTACCATCCTCAATCTTATATACAGTCCACTCCCTATTTCTTTCTCCGGCATAATTAGACAACCCAACCGGACGTTAACTAACCCGCACATTATAACCGGGCGTTCTGTTCAAACAGCATTATTATTGTTGAAAAAAATAGAGCATCACTAAACATTACTCCGTTTATCACCTTTTCTCATTATTCAGTCACTTATATCCCAAAATTCGAAAAGCAATTTTTTCTCACCATAAATATATTTATTATAATATCATAGTGTATATAACTATTTCATTATAGTGAACTATAAGAAAAATGTTCTTAATAATTAAAACATTTTACTCTAAAAATAAGCAAATTAATTGAATAATACATATTAATTTTGTTTATATATGCATATATTTGTATAAATTTGCTAAATGTTTTTAATAATATTATTTTGATATATGTAGCTATTGGTATACCAATTATAGACTCAGAAAATAACAATGGTAAGTTAATTTTTTACTTAGCTTATAATTACAAAAAATTATATCTTTTAAATAAATTATAATTTTTATTTTTACTTAATTTATGATTAATGAAAAAATCTTAAAATAGATCAACCTTGTATTATCATAAAATGAAAATTTATCTTTAATTTGTACAATTTTTGAACTTCTTGGCGAGGTCTTAATAACACATTTTACTTAAAAATATAATTATTATTATTTTTAATTAATTCTTACAGATAGTTTGTACATTATTTTTATTGTTATATCACTTNCATTTTACTTAAAAATATAATTATTATTATTTTTAATTAATTCTTACAGATAGTTTGTACATTATTTTTATTGTTATATCACTTTTTTGAACTTAGGTAAACAACAATAATGAATATTAGTTATAATAGCATGTTTTATTTATGATACAGTACAGGTCACTTTTTGTTATTTTATAGAACATACCAGAAACGAAATATTTTTAACCATTCCCAGTACCGCATACTTTGCATATAGGAAATAAATCAATTTTATAACTCAATTGTTAGCTCTCCGTTTTGGAGCTAAAAAAGTATCTTCATAGGCTCAGCCTTTCTGTGGGTCGATCAAGCGCAAAGCAAAAATTAACCTCTAATATTTACTAAATGTTGTAGCCAAAAATAACGGAGCAATGTTTTTAAGTTCGTCTAGCTAGTACCAAATTATTCTTTATATCTTTTAATAACAAGTTAGTTTTACTGTCAAATACAAAGATGTTTATTTCGCGTATTTCTTTGTATTTACAATAGTGTAACTATAATACACGCGCTAGTCGGTGCCTGTTAATGTTGACAAAAAAATTTCTAAGACGCAAATAAGTACAGCTTACTATTGTCACCTATCTAAGTATAGACATAATTTTGATAGTTGCAGCTATTTTACCAGTTATTGATACACGTGCGACTTGAAATACGGTTTTTACTACATATTTTAATTATAGAAAAATACTTCATTTCATAACTTCCGTTTTATTTACACAATTTTTAGAAAATTAAAAATATGACTTATTTGTGTTTTTTTTTTTTTATTATTATTCGTGTTATTATAATATACGTTTGAAGTCAATTTAATAAAAAGATTTGTAATAATGCATATAAGCGTAAATGGAGAATAATTTGTAAAAAAAGACCTTCGGGATAAAAATGATTCCCTTCATCATGATAAAAATGTAATTATAACTATATAGTAATATGTTTTATTCAAAATGGCCCTCTTTAATTAAAGGAGATATTTAATTTAATCTTTCTCTTTTTATTAATATTTTATCTAGGACATTATACATAAAATAGAGAATGACAGTTTTAGTGAATTTCTAAAAAAATAATTCTTATTAATTAATTTTAAAAAATCAAACAAATATTCTTTATGATCAATTGTTTTATTGAGTGCGTGTGACGATCATAATATTGAATTAGAAACTACTAAGTACTAATAGAGTGGTTGAAGTCTGAAATAATTCATAAGATATTTATAATTCATAAGACATAATTCATGTCAAGTAGGGCTCTAAGAAATATGATATAATAAGCTTCCTATATTAATTATTTAGTTATTGAAATTCTATATAATTCTACTTAGGATATTAATTTCAGTGAGAAGGTCTAAAATTATACGCTCCTAAGTTAGTTGTGATACTTACGTTTCAAACAATATGGACTCAAATAAAATTATTTTAATATTTAAAATTTTAAATAAATATATGCATCAATTTAATGTTTCTTTATATCAGTAGACAATTATAGTATAGGTGGTACAAATATTAAAAGTTTAAATTTAAAATTTTCAAAAATTCATCTTTAATTTTTACTTAAATATTTCCTGAAAAAATTCAATGAAATATTTCAATTTCTTTTATTTCATGAAACTTTAATAATTATGCACCAACACAGTATTATATATATATATGTTTACTAACGTAAACTAATAGCATTAATTAATAAAATAGGTGTCATAAACAAGTATATACGATTTTCATTTAATTTTATATATCTGATTATTTTGATTAATTAAATAGAACAGAATGATACAGAAATGTTTGAATCGGATGACGAAATGGGTAAATCTCTTTTTTAATTATAATTTAGTTATAACCTAATATTCCTTTCAAAAAATTGTAAATTTTCAAATATCTGATTATTAATATTTTGCATTATTCCAATGGTGAGCATTAACTAGTTAAAAGTTAATTTTTTTTAACTTTTCAACTTAACTAATAATTTTTTTTTTCTAGTAAATTTTTAAAATCAACTAATTTCATTTTTCATTGAAATAACTTATTTTTTTTCAGTTAATTAGTTAAAATAACATATAAGCTAAATTCAAAATATCCTAAAAACAATTCTCTTTATATGCTATGTACGTGGTTTATTTAAAATCAAATTTATCCCTATCCCAAATATTATATTTACACAACAATATATATATTTTTTTAAAAATGTATGTGATTTTTAACTGATTTTTTTTTAATTGATAGTTTTAAAGATAAAATAATGTAACCAACACCAAAATATACAAGACGAATATAGAAATTTTTTTCATCATTAATATTTTCTTCCCATCCAGTTAAAATTGATTATTAGATTTCTCTTGCATCACCGATCAATAAAAAAATGATTTAAAGAGATTTTAGCTGAAAAATTAATTTAAAATAAAATACACTTTTTTAATTATTATTCATAAACCATTTCGATTAACTTGCCCATCCTTACATTATTCTGAAACTCAATAACAGTAATTTTGATTTATTTTTATTGAAACAATATATGTAGATAAAATAAATATTTCTTTTGACGTTGAAAACCTCCTACGTAAAAAAAACGAAATACCTAATATCAATATTAGGTGTTTTTTTTTTTCAAAATCTATGAGTATCAAACTTTTAATCTTCTTATCTTGCATATTTATATATTAAATATTTTATGTTTAAATGTCTTACTAATAATATACATTATTTTGTATATTATACATTTTATTATAAATATATTTACATATTACAATAGAAGAAAGTAGTGTTTCAGTCCCAGAAAAAACATTGAATGAGCTGATTCTTAAATTAAATGAAATGTTAAAAATGAACAATAAAACTAATAATGAAAATCAAGGTAAGTTTTAAATTAAGCCTAATAATATATTTTTAAAAAAGTTTTATTTCAACAAAATTTATAAATTGACAAAAAATACATATATATGTTAAAAAAATCAAGGGCTTGAATTTTTAAGTTATAATTTAAAAATCTAGTGGTTCAATAATGTAATAATTATTGAATTTCAAGCATAGTCAAAATATTCAAATGTATAATTTTAAATATTTTGTTTGCAAAATAAAATATATTTTACAAACAAATCATTTTATTATACCTCCCTACTTATTTAATCATGTCGGCAAATATTTTTTGTGTATTTTATTAAAAATAAAGTTGGTGGATTCCTAAATGATTATATAAAATATAATAAAATTAAACTAGAATAAAAAGTATTTAAAGTAGTTAATTATTTTTATAATTTCTAAATTAAGTGTTCTATAAACCAAGTATTATAATTAATTGTTTGTTATTTATAAAAATTAAAATAATTTAATTATCTTACTCTATAAGTAAAATTAATTTTAGTATAAATAATCAATTTTTAAATTTTTTCTTTTAGAAAATGTATTTTGTGTACGATGTAATAGTGATAAACTATCAACATACTTACTTCCGTGTATGCACAAAGTATGTAAAATTTGTGAGTACAGAATATTTTCTCAGCAAATGAATGTTAAATGTGAAAAATGTCAGACACAAGTTTTACAATTATCAAGTGCAGGTATGTATTTTAATAATTGTTACAGTAATAACCCGAAAATTAATGTATAGAGAGTGAGAGAGAGAGGGTGTACAAATGATATCTGACAGTGATTAAAATCAATATCATGAGAAACGCTTCGATAATAATCTGTAGATAGTGTTTTATTTTAAAAAATTGGCGGATTAATCATTTTTAACCTACTTTTTTTGTGAAAGTTTATAATAATAAAAAATTATGAATTTATTGCCATAACTTTTAACTCAACTTGTAGTGAATCAAAAAAAGAAAATAAAATAACTTTTGTTGTAATTTAAAAGGGGTTATTAATTTAGGGAGTACTTTGACAGTTACTTAAAAGAAATAAATTAAATAGAAAATGATGGGATTTGGGTTCTTATTTGATCCACTACTTTATTGTATTGATAATATTATTACTCGGGGTATGAGTACGAGGGTCACTAAGAAAGATAGAAGATGATAGAAAAATAAAGTGATCTTTATTTTATTAATATGGGATTCATTATAATTAATTGTCAATTTCTAAATATCAATAATGCCAAGAGTTTTGAAGGTTATCGATGATAGGTGGGATTGAGTCACCTCGTGTGTCTACCCGAGTGGCATGGTGGCTATACATATGAACCTCCAACCTATTTCCTGAAATAGACACGTATCAACGATATAACTCTGCCAAGTAACTCTGTGCAAACATTATCGATTTATTAAATTTACTTGGTATATTTATTATTATTGATAATTACTTGATTTTCCTGTATGCCTACTTAATCTATGTACTCATAAAATTTAATTCTAAACCTTATTTATTTTTGGTGAATTTATTAGATTCCTACCTTGATATTTTCTGCGATACTCTTAAATAAATAGATGTTGTATTTTTCGTACAAATATAATTGTGTTGACGGCGGATCACTTCTTGCATATATTTTGTTATGTTGAATGATCAAGCGTAGTGAGTGCCTCTGTGAATATCTGACTGCATCTGTCTCAGAATGCTCTTTATTTTTGGCTTTTTATATTAAATTTGATCGTGGTTCAAAGGCAAGAAGTGATCCCCGACGCCACTATTATTTCTTTATTAATCGTAATTTATTACATGTTATTTATTACATTTTCATCAATAATGATCTACATATTATAAAATACTATTATATCTTATATAATAAATTAGACATAGTTTATTACCCTTCATCATATGTGCTACCATTACATATTGTTTATTATTTCCTATTTGTTTTATATAATTAATATATGCTTTTTTCTACGAAATTTTATTAGTATATTTAAACATTTAAAAGGTACATATATATATATATATATCTTATTTTTATTGGTATACATTTCATTTTGTGTGATTGATTGATTGAAGTCTTAAATAATATATTATAACATTAATGATGTTCTATGTATATCATTACAAACTTGCAAGTTCGAAATTAACATCATTAAATAGAAAAAAATGGTAGTGTTAAGCTTAACATACAGCCAGTAATCACTTCTATCACTTCTAAGTTTTAAAAATAAAAAATAAGTATTTACATATAAAACAATAATTAAGAACAAAACAAAAAATGTTTTAAATTAATACTGATTTTTAATTTTAAAATGTTAAAAATAAAAAAAAAATTACATATTTAACCTATTTTTTTAATCCTTTACAATTGATTTTTGTGAAAGTTTATAGTAAAAAAAATGTATTTATTACCATAACTTTTCGCTCAATTTGCAAGTTTGTTATTGACATCATTAAATTTTATAAGAATTAAAAAAATTGTACCGCTAAGATTAATATGCAGTCAGGAAATTTTATAATTACTATTTATAGTAACTTCAGAAAATAAAAAAAGTTGTTAAAAAGATCTACTTAATTGAGTGTATTATAAAACTTGATTATAATTTAAAAAATCCATCGTTAAATTCAGGTGATACTAAAAATATTTTTTTTTTAGATTTATATATATATATATATATATATAACAACATGTTTCGAAAAATGTTGGAATGTTATAGACTGGTAGTAGCACACACGAATAGAGTTAAAAATTAACAAATTACAAAGTAAAATTATTTACTCTTGCAGTTGAATACTTTTATCATATCAAATCTAATTCGACAATAAATATTTTTAAAATATTAGAAATGAATGATTTAAATTGTTTGTATGGATAAAGCTAATTAGCTACTTTTTATTTAATTCAGGTATTTGTTTTCAATTTTTTTAGGGTAATATTTTCAACTAAATACGAATTGTAATCATTTGACGTATCTTTAAAAAAGTAGTTTAAGTGAGGGTTGGAAAAATAAATCGCATCCACAAAAAAAAAAAAACATAGTAAAAAAATATTAACATGAATAAGAAATTTCTTCTCATGAGGGGAAACTACAGTGATGAGATCCTTGATAATAATTGGTTTTTGAATTTAAATGAGATAAAAATCAAATAATTTGAAATTTTTTTTCTAACTCAATAAGAATTCAGGAAAAAATGAAAAATTTAATAGTTACAGGCGAATTTGAACTTCGTATCCTTAGCGTAAAAGATACAAGTGTTACCAATTTAAAAAAAAAGTATGTCAAATAAAAGAAGTAAACATAAAGTGTTTATAAAAAAAAAATTGTGTTGATTTGTTAATTTTTGACAAAGTTATGGTAGTTTTAAAAATAAAAATAACGAAATTTGCCAATTTAAAAATTTTAATTTATTTAGAGATTTCCCCCATTTACGGGGAACGAGAGAAATGTTTTCAATTTTTAAGGGTAATGCCTCCAACTAGATACGATTTGTGATTTTTTGACATATTGTTTATCAAAATCGGTCCAGTGAGTGCTGAGAAAAAGTGACAACAGACAAAAAAAAACACATCATTAAAATTAATACCTTCTCAGCTTCTCATCGAAGCCAAAACATATTTTTAACATAACCTCATAGTTTCTTCATAAAAATTAAATGTATTATTCTTTTTATCTACATAAAAAAATATAATTTTACATTTTTTTAGATAAAGAATTGTCAAAAGAAGAAGCATGGAAATTAATAAATCTAATGGATAAGATTTAATCTCGTAACAATAATCAATAATCTTAACATACGTTTTTAGTTGTTTGTTATTTTATTTTTCAGAAATAAATATTACATTATTGTATTCATCATTTAAAATTAATATTCATTTGTCATGAAATTAGGTACTCTATAGTTATAATTTTAAAAAAAACTGCAGCACAGTGGGATAGCATTTCAGTAGGGATGTAACATTGTTAAAATACATACACCACTCACTATTCAGTAGTCCATAAATTATTGTCTATTAATTATCAAATCAAATATATATTATTCATACCAATCCTTTAAACTATTTCAAAAAATATGTCTAAAAATGCATAGATACAAATCTGATACAAAAAAGGATGGAAAATTTTTTCAGCTTTTAAAGGCAATGTCTTCAACTATATACGATTTGTGATCTTTTGGCGTTGAAAAAAATCGGTTCGATGAAAGTTGAGAAAAAGTGGTGACAGTCAAAAAAAAAGAGACATCATAGTTAAATGAATACCTTGTCAGTTTTGCATCAAAGCTATAATCATTTGATGTTAAATTTTTAGAAGGAATTTTTAATAAATAAATTTTAATAATTTGATTATCTGACTTAGTTATCGGTAACTAGAACATTTTTTTTAATTAAAGAGATGCTCTTCCTTTTAATATACGGAATGGTATGGCACTAAAAGCTACAAAAATTTTCTCTGAAAATATATATAACTAATACTTAAATTTTTTTTTATTGTTATTATTTTTTTGTAAAATGGAATTAAATAGGGGTACTGACCTCCCCTTTTATATAACTATACTGTTTGACCTAAAATATAGGTATAAATAATTAACAAAATAGAATTGATGTATAATATTATAACAATACAAAAAAGATTGCAGTTATTCCAAAAAAATAACATTTTTTGTTTACATAAGGAGTCTGTTTATATATAGAAGACATGTTATCGGGACAGATTTTTTTTACTTCTAGTATGTAATGCAACCTTCAATTTAACATATGTTTGAAGTATTTCCTCAACGTTTTCAAAAAGTGAAAAAGTGTTACTTTTTATATGTATGATTCAAGTTTTTCATTGTAATTTATTAGATTGATACCAAAATTTCATAATTAAAGAAATTTTTAATTTTTAATAGTGACAACAATATGTCATTGGCAGCATTGTCTAAGGAGGCACTCTAGTACTATTAAATATTTTACCTGATTTGTTATTTTGTACAATGTAGTGAGATTGTGAAATTAAGTTATTTGTATTTAATTGTTAACAATATTAAATAAAATAATATCCTAAACTTCAAACAATTTTTAAATTCATATTATTATACAAAATTTATAATATAATAAAAACAACCAATTAATTGATAATAATTAAATACATAAATGTTATATTTAATTATGTACATTTTAAAAGTTATTTTGAATTAATTAATGTTATTGTACATTTTTTACATTTTCGAAATCTTATCGTTTAACAAGCGTAACAGAATTGAAAAGTGAAATTGTTATAATATTTATTTTAACTAACTTCTTAATAAGGTGACCATATAAGTTGATTTTATTTTACAGTATAGTAATGTATTGAAAAATTATAGGAAAATCAATCGAAATAATCAACACTCTTATTTATTTAATATTTAATTATTTTTGTGAATATTTGACCCTTTAACAACCCTCAGGAAGGGTTTCAAAATGGTAACTTTATCAATTTAACTTTTGACAATGTTCCGAAAAGACTGACACTTTTATATATAGGGTGATTGATTAACTATGCCTCACAAATTATGGCATAGTGAATATATAGAGAGGCATAGTTAATCAATCACCCTGTATACCTTAAATTAAAGCTTATGTAATATACTTTAATTTGAAAAAAAAAATTGACCTCTAGATTTGTCTTCATGGTGAAAATGACTACCATATTTTAAAATATGCTGTTTTTGTGTTAAGATTCTGGGTTTTATAATTTATTTTATTTTAAAATATCTGAAAAGGGGACATAAATCAAATTGATATAGCATAAAAAATTAAACTTATATAAATTTTTTACATCTATGGTAAACGCGTATAAAATTTTAAGGGCTTGATGCAAAACTTTTCAGAAAATATTTTACAATTAATTATGAATAAATGGTCTACAAGGAATTTTCATGGGAATTAAAATTACAATTTTCTTGATCAATTTTTAGCGATGATTTCAAATCTTTAATTAGATTTTTTCTACCACCATTATTTTTCTGTATCATTACTAATTAGTTAAAATTGAATTTTGTGTTTGTTACCACTTATTCTCAGCTCTCACTGGACAATTATTGATGAACAATACGTCAAAATATATCGTATCTACTCGAAATAATTACCCTCAATAATTGAAAAAAATTCTCTCGTTCCTTATAAATGTGGGATATCTATAAATAAATAATAATATAAAATCAGTTATTTTCGATATATTTTCATCTTTTTTTACTTAAAACTGAAATAACTTTTTAAAAAATTGATGAATAAAAACAATTTTTTTAACATAATGTGTTTTTTATATATGTGTATTCATTGTTTATTTTGAGATAAAAAAATAATGTAATTTTAAAACAAATATTTCAATTTTATATACAAAAAATTTAATTAAAACTGATATATGAAAAATAATGGTTTCTAATAATACCGTCAGAATCTATTGTTTTATTTTAAAATTTTATTAAAAGATATAATAANAAATTAAAACTCTGATATATGAAAAATAATGGTTTCTAATAATACCGTCAGAATCTATTGTTTTATTTTAAAATTTTATTAAAAGATATAATAATTTATTTTGTTGAAAAAAATAGACCATTATCACTGAACACAAAAAAAAATGGTAGCACAATCAGGTCGCGGCACAGATGGACGTGGAATAGTTGGGACAAGTATAAATGATATCTGACAGTGATTAAAATCACTATTATAAGAAACTCTTCAATGCAAATCTGTATATAGTGTTTAATTTTAAAAAAGTGGTGGATTATTCTAAAAGCTACATGATCTGCTATTTCCTTATTTATATCCTGATTAAGATAAAGTATGTCAATTTAAAAAAGGATATAAATATTAATTCTTATAAAAAAATTGTGTTGATCCATATACTTTTCAATAAATTATGGCATTATAAAGATAAAAATGTAAAAATTTTTCACAATGAAGACAAAATAAAGTCCGAAATTTTTTTTTTTCATAATAAAGTACATTACATTAGCTTTAATTTAAGATATATGTAAATGTGCCTGACATTCCGGAACACTTTAAAAAGTTAAGTTGAAAAAGTTAATTTTTATAAAAAAGTTGTTAATTTGAATCCCTTCCTGTGGGTAGGGAAAGAGTTAATTTATAGTAATTAATTTTATAGTAATTTATAGAAAAAATACATCAAATGGTAAGTAAGACATTATGCATCTATAAAACAAAATTATATTGATTTGAAAAAGTTATGGTAGTTTTAAGTAAACAAAATTGAAAAAATTTCGAAAATTAGCGATGTTTATATTTGTAATTTTTTTGAAGATATCCCCCATTTACGAGGAACGAGGGAAATTTTTTCAATTTTTGAGGGTAATGTCTTTGACTAGATACAATTTGTGAGCTTTTGACGTATCGTTGAAAGATATCGGTTCCGTGAGAGCTGAGAAAAAGTGGTAACAGACACAAAAAAAAACATCATAGTAAAATCAATACCTTTTCAGCTTCGCATCGAAGCTAAAAAATTTTGAAAATTGTATGTCGTTAAGTAATTTTTCTATGTTTTACTATCTTATAAGATTATAGGTAGGTTGTAAATTTTAAACTCTCACGGTGAGTAGAATTTTGATCGAATTTTGAATTTTCGGATATTTTTACCTTCCTCATATCAATCATATTATAGAATAGAATAATTATAATTATTGAGAAACGGTAAGAAAATCGTTTTATGGAAAAAAAGTGCCGCAAGAAATTTGGACACTNTTGACCTCTAGATTTGTCTTCATGGTGAAAATGACTACCATATTTTAAAATATGCTGTTTTTGTGTTAAGATTCTGGGTTTTATAATTTATTTTATTTTAAAATATCTGAAAAGGGGACATAAATCAAATTGATATAGCATAAAAAATTAAACTTATATAAATTTTTTACATCTATGGTAAACGCGTATAAAATTTTAAGGGCTTGATGCAAAACTTTTCAGAAAATATTTTACAATTAATTATGAATAAATGGTCTACAAGGAATTTTCATGGGAATTAAAATTACAATTTTCTTGATCAATTTTTAGCGATGATTTCAAATCTTTAATTAGATTTTTTCTACCACCATTATTTTTCTGTATCATTACTAATTAGTTAAAATTGAATTTTGTGTTTGTTACCACTTATTCTCAGCTCTCACTGGACCATTATTGATGAACAATACGTCAAAATATATCGTATCTACTCGAAATAATTACCCTCAATAATTGAAAAAAATTCTCTCGTTCCTTATAAATGTGGGATATCCATAAATAAATAATAATATAAAATCAGTTATTTTCGATATATTTTCATCTTTTTTTACTTAAAACTGAAATAACTTTTTAAAAAATTGATGAATAAAAACAATTTTTTTAACATAATGTGTTTTTTATATATGTGTATTCATTGTTTATTTTGAGATAAAAAAATAATGTAATTTTAAAACAAATATTTCAATTTTATATACAAAAAATTTAATTAAAACTGATATATGAAAAATAATGGTTTCTAATAATACCGTCAGAATCTATTGTTTTATTTTAAAATTTTATTAAAAGATATAATAATTTATTTTGTTGAAAAAAATAGACCATTATCACTGAACACAAAAAAAAATGGTAGCACAATCAGGTCGCGGCACAGATGGACGTGGAATAGTTGGGACAAGTATAAATGATATCTGACAGTGATTAAAATCACTATTATAAGAAACTCTTCAATGCAAATCTGTATATAGTGTTTAATTTTAAAAAAGTGGTGGATTATTCTAAAAGCTACATGATCTGCTATTTCCTTATTTATATCCTGATTAAGATAAAGTATGTCAATTTAAAAAAGGATATAAATATTAATTCTTATAAAAAAATTGTGTTGATCCATACACTTTTCAATAAATTATGGCATTATAAAGATAAAAATGTAAAAATTTTTCACAATGAAGACAAAATAAAGTCCGAAATTTTTTTTTTTCATAATAAAGTACATTACATTAGCTTTAATTTAAGATATATGTAAATGTGCCTGACATTCCGGAACACTTTAAAAAGTTAAGTTGAAAAAGTTAATTTTTATAAAAAAGTTGTTAATTTGAATCCATTCCTGTGGGTAGGGAAAGAGTTAATTTATAGTAATTAATTTTATAGTAATTTATAGAAAAAATACATCAAATGGTAAGTAAGACATTATGCATCTATAAAACAAAATTATATTGATTTGAAAAAGTTATGGTAGTTTTAAGTAAACAAAATTGAAAAAATTTCGAAAATTAGCGATGTTTATATTTGTAATTTTTTTGAAGATATCCCCCATTTACGAGGAACGAGGGAAATTTTTTCAATTTTTGAGGGTAATGTCTTTGACTAGATACAATTTGTGAGCTTTTGACGTATCGTTGAAAGATATCGGTTCCGTGAGAGCTGAGAAAAAGTGGTAACAGACACAAAAAAAAACATCATAGTAAAATCAATACCTTTTCAGCTTCGCATCGAAGCTAAAAAATTTTGAAAATTGTATGTCGTTAAGTAATTTTTCTATGTTTTACTATCTTATAAGATTATAGGTAGGTTGTAAATTTTAAACTCTCACGGTGAGTAGAATTTTGATCGAATTTTGAATTTTCGGATATTTTTACCTTCCTCATATCAATCATATTATAGAATAGAATAATTATAATTATTGAGAAACGGTAAGAAAATCGTTTTATGGAAAAAAAGTGCCGCAAGAAATTTGGACACTATACAGAGTGAAAACACTATGTACGCTATTTAAATGCTGTATTCGAGTAGATGTACTAAAGTAGCACTCAGCCTTTTTACTTAACAAATCTTAACAAGTTTATCATAAATCGTTTTGGTACCTTAATACATTAAGTTATACGCGTCTTTTTTGCTTTTTATATCCACATTCTAGTTAATATCAAGTAAAATATTTTATATAATTTTTCAATAAACGAACTTTTATACTAACAAAATACTTAACCGTTTCTTGTATTATAACTTTTTATTCTAACAATATTGTATTATTATTTTGTTTTATATAATATAATCCAAACNGTACAGAGTGTTTTCACTCTGTATAGGCTATTTAAATGCTGTATTCGAGTAGATGTACTAAAGTAGCACTCAGCCTTTTTACTTAACAAATCTTAACAAGTTTATCATAAATCGTTTTGGTACCTTAATACATCAAGTTATACGCGTCTTTTTTGCTTTTTATATCCACATTCTAGTTAATATCAAGTAAAATATTTTATATAATTTTTCAATAAACGAACTTTTATACTAACAAAATACTTAACCGTTTCTTGTATTATAACTTTTTATTCTAACAATATTGTATTATTATTTTGTTTTATATAATATAATCCAAAC